TGTGTGTGTGTGTGTGAGAGAGAGAGAGATTTTTAAATTTCATACATTTTTCCATTCAAATCCAGACCCCTCTCCCATCCATGCCTCTTCCTACCACCCCACCACACTAGGTGACACATCTGCAGTCGAATCTCTGCAACTAAAGCTCATGGAACATAGCAGAATAAAGGATGAGAAAGGGCTAATGCACCCCTCATCTCTCACCAGGGAGGCTTCCATGTACATCAGATTGTGATGCACACTGTTTTCACATCACTTAAGTTTTATTTACCTCTTCTCTATCTCTCACCATGTAAAACATTCCAGCCTCCCCCCCGTTAGAGTAACCCTATTTTCTCCATTCTCCCCTTGAAAATGGTTGTGTTTTCCTAGCCCCCTCTCTTGAGTTCCATCTTCCCCTCCCCCTTCATGGTTCCTTTCTATTTTCCTCACTTTTGCTGTTACTTCAGAATATAGTCATGTCTAAGGATTTGGAACTAGGATTCACATATGAGAGAGAATGTGCATTACTTGTTTTTTCTGAGTCTGGGTAACCTCATTCAGGATAACACCTTCTAGTTCCATCCATTTACTTGCAGATTTCATGATTTCATTTTTCTTTACTGCTGAGTAAAACTCCATCGTATATATGAACCACATTTTCATTATCCATTCATCAATTGAGGGACACCTAGGTTGCTTCCATCTCTTAGCTATTGTGAAAAGAGCAGCAACAAACATGGATGTACAAGTGTCTCTGCAGCAGGACGAGTTCTTTGGGTATATGCCAAGGAGTGGTATAACTGGGTCAAATGGTAGGTTCATTTGTAGTTTTCTAAGAGTTCTTTAAACAGATTATTTTAGACAAATCATTTAATATTATATTCATGGGGGTGAAATGCATTTAGATACCTAATCAATGTATGTGAACTGTTACGTTGTGATTTTTTTTTTAAGTATAGTTTTTCACTAGAAAACTAGTTTTATAACGGGAGTTATTTAAACCTAAACAGATTATTTTAGACAAATCATTTAATATTATATTCATGGGGGTGAAATGCATTTAGATACCTAATCAATGTATGTGAACTGTTACGTTGTGATTTTTTTTTTAAGTATAGTTTTTCACTAGAAAACTAGTTTTATAACGGGAGTTATTTAAACCTAAATTGTAGATATTTACTGACCTAATTTTGTTTTCAAAATAATAGCTACATTTTTTTCTGATAATTCTTTTAGAGATTTGGAGCCTTCTCCTAATCCACCATATTTTCCATCTCATGTTATTAAAGCAACATTTGCCTACATCAGCAATTGTCATAAAACCAAACTTAAAAGCATTTTAGAAGTTCTTTCCAAAAGCCCAGTAAGTATACATTACTATTATAATAACTGGTACAAGAATTCCTTTTTCAGCTAGAGAATCTAAGTATATCCTAAAGAGAAAAGAATATGAAGATTGTAGTTGACTAATTTAAAAGAGCAAAGCACTCATTTATGAGTTCTATCTTAGCATTAACTAGAATGTATTACATAAGATTAGAATTTCATGACCCTTCATTTGTTAGCTCAGTTTTCTGAGCTATTTAATTATAGTTTACTTTCTGACAACTGTAGTGACAATTTTTTAAAAAATATTTATTATTTTTATTTTATGTGTATGTGTGTATTGCCTGCATGTATGTAAGTGCACCTGTGTTGTGCAATGCCTGTGGAGGACAGAAGAGGCCCTCAGATCCTCAGGAACTGGAGTTAGGAACAGTTGTTAGCTACCATGTGGGTGCTGGGATTCGAACCTGGGTGTTCTGCAAGAACATTCAGTGCTTTTAACTGATGAACCATCTCTCCAGCCTCTGTAGTGACAATTTTTAAAAAATGAAATAGACACTTAAAGGAACAATCTTAATATAACATTTGCCATTGAACAAGTGCATATTTAAATGGTTATTTAGGGAAGTACGAAATATATTGGTTGTAGCTGAGTATATTTGGTTTTAAAGTTTACTGTATGTGTATCGATTTTCTAGGATTCCTATCAGAAGATTCTTCTGGCCATTTGTGAGCAAGCAGCTGAGACAAATAGTGCATATAAAAAACACAGAATTCTTAAGATATATCACCTGTTTGTTAGCTTATTACTGAAAGACATAAAAAGCGGCTTGGGAGGTGCTTGGGCCTTTGTTCTTCGAGATGTTATTTATACTTTGATTCACTCTGTCAACAAAAGGTAAATAATGTGTTGCACCAATACATAAGCAGTCTTTCTACTTCATTCTCGTGTGTGTTTGCATGTATGTGTGTGCATATACCTGTGTGTGTGTGTCTTGTGTGTGTGTGTGTGTGTGTGTGTGTAGTCTTGAAGTTGACTTTGAGAGTCTGGCTCAGTTGCTTTTCACCTAATTCATTGAGGCAGGATCTCAACTGAACCCAGAGCTTGATGAAGGGTCTCACTCGAGCCCTGTATCAATGTCTTGTCTGGCTAGCCAGCTGGCTTTCGGAGCCCTGTCTGCCTCCTGCATGCTGAGCTTACACAGGGTCTCTTCTCTTTCGTTGGTCTGCTGTGTATGTTTTCCTGCTGCTCTCATTCTGTTTATTCCTCGTAACTTTGTCATCAGAAGTAGCAGTGCTCTTGCTTTGTTCTTTTTGCTCAAGATTGTTTTGGCTATTGGGAATTCTTTTGTGTGGTTCTATTTCGGTCTTAGATTTTTTTTTTTTCTTTTCAAGTTCAGTTCTGTGATGCATGCCATTGGTATTTTGGTAGGGATTTCATTGAATCAGAGGTTTGCTTTGGGTTGTATGGCATTTTAATGATTTCAGTCTATAAAGGATTTTTCTCCTTCATTTCCTTTTGTTAATATTTTACTTTTATTGGTGCACTTTGTTTTCTGTTTACGTTAGTTTTTTGTAACTATTATAAGTGAGATTGCTTTCGGGGCTGGAGAGATGGCTCAGCAGTTAGAAACACTGGTTGTTCTTGCAGAAGACCTGGGTTTGAATCCCAGCACCCACATGGCAGCTAACAACTGTCCATGACTCCAGTTCCAGGGGACCCGACAGCTTCTTCTGTCCTCTGCCGGCATTGCCCGACACAGGTGCACTTACCTACATTCCGGAATAACACTCATACACATAAAAAATAATAAAATGTTTTTAAAACTATGTGAGATTGCTTTCTTTTTCTTCATATAATTTACTACTAGTTTATAGAAATACTACTGATTCTTTGATGTTGATCTTATATCCTAAAGCCTTACCAAATTAATTTATTAGTTGTAATAATTTGCGGGGGAGGCTTTAAGTTTGCCTGCAAACTGTGACTGCTCTTTATTTCTTTCTCTTGCCTGCTTGCTCTGACTAGTAGCTCTCACTGTAGACTAAAAGTGGGAGAAGGGCATCCTTGTCTTTTTCAAAATCTTGAAGGGATACTATTCAGCTTTTTCTCTTCGTTATGTTAGCTGTAGACATCTTATGTTTGGCTTCTATTATGTTGAAGTATATTCCCTAAATATACTTTTGTTTTGTTCAGAATGTTTTTCATGGAGGAATGTTGGATTTTGTCAGATGCCTTTTTTGTCTGTTGAAATGATCATAGGTAGCTTTTGCTTTTGATTCTGTTGCTGTGTGGTATAACACATGTAGTGGTTTGTGTGTGTTGAACCATCCTGGCATCCCTGGGATGAACCTCACCTAATAATGTTTAATCTTTTAAGTGTGTTGTAGGATTTGATTTGTTAGGTAGGTTTGTTTGTTTGTTTGTTTGGTCTTTTTGAGACAGGGTCTCCCTGTAGACCAGGCTGGCCTTGAACTCACAGAGATTCACCTACCTTTGCCCCCTGAGTGCTGGGATTAAAGGCATGTACTACCATGCCCGGCTGTTTTGTTAGCATTTTAAGGAGGATTTGTGTATCTATGCTCAGCAGGAATATTGGTCTGTAGTTGTTGATTGTCATTCTTGTGTACTTGTCTGGTTTTGATATCAGAGTGGACTGACAGGGGAATGAATTAGAAGAAATTCCATCTTTGATATTTGGAATGATTTTAGAACTCTCAGTTCAGTGAAGCCTTCTGGTCCTGGACTTTTCTTTGATGGGTGATTTTTTTTTTTTATTTAGTTTCATTACTTGTTATTGATTTGTTCAAGTTTTCTGTTTCTTCATAAGTTAGTTTTTCTTTCCATGTTGGTGTTGATTTTGGTATTATTATTTTAAAGTGATAGACTTCCTGTATTGCCCAGGTATGCTGTAAACGCCTGGGCTTAGGCTACTTTAGCCTTCTAAGTAGCAGGACCTACTACAGGTGTATATTCTCCCAGTATGCTTTCATAAATCATTTTATTTTTGTCCTTTTATTTTTTCTTTAATACTAGAGGCCTGTCAGTTTTGTATGTCTTTTCAAAAAATGAAACTTAAAACATTTATGTTTTTTTTTTTTGGTCTTTTTGAGACAGTGTCTCCTTGTAGCCCATGCTGGCCTGGAACTCACTTTGTAGACCAGGCTGGCCTTGAACTCACAGAGATCTGCCTGCCTCTGCCTCCCGAGTGCTGGGACTAAAGGGGTGTGCCACCATGCCAGGCAAAACATTTATCATTTTGTTACAGTGAAACATTCAAAGTCCCCTCTTGTAGGTTTTTGATAGACATAGCACATAATTACTCTCTATAGTTGTTCTGTTCCGTAACTCACCAGAACATCTTACTCCTGTCTACTGTAACCTAGTACCCACCGATCTGCCTTTCCCATCCTTCCCTATCTTTCTCTCCAGCTTTCTATCCTCAGCTTCTCTGAGATCAGTTTTTATAAGTTTATAATTCGCATATGAGCATAATCATGCAAAGAACCAATTTGGTTTGTTGATCCTTTCTAATATTTTTCTCTATTTCCACTCTGTCATTATCTTCTTCCTTCTGTTGCATTTGCTTTAGGTTTAGTTTACTTTTGTGTCCCATTTCCCTAAGTTAGGCTATAAAGTATGATCTCTCTGCTTTTTGAAGTAAAGGTGTTCATTGCCCGAAATTTCCTCTCATTATTCCATTTCTGTATCTCATAATTTTTGATCTGTTGAGTTGTAACTTTCATCTGTCTCTTAGCTCTTTGAGCGCATTTTAAAATTATTTTGAACTCTTTCTCTAATAATTACAGTGTCTAAAGTCCTTTAGGAAATGTTTCTATCATTTCATTTCCTTCCTTTGAGAAGGTTGTGCTTTCCTGTTTGTACACCCTGCAGTTTTTTTGTTGTTGTTTTTTTTTTTTTTTTTTTAAATTTTCAGGATCTCCCTGTAGCCCCAGCTGTCCTGGAACCCACTATGTAGACTAGGCTGGCCTTGAACTCACAGTGATCCGCGTGTGTGTGTGTGTGTGTGTGTGTGTTCCATGTATGTGAGTGGGCGTGCATGTAGAGGTGATTGATACATAGGTATCCTCCTCTGTTGCTCTCTGCCTTATTCCCTTAAGACAGGGTCTCTCACTGAACTTCCTGTTTCAGCTAGGTTGGCTGGCCAGGGAGTTTCCTGCCCTCCAGTGCTGGGGTTCAGACATGCCCATCTGTGCCTGGGTTTTTACATGGGGGCTTGGGATTCTAATTCAGATCCTCATGCTTGTAGAGCAATTGTGCTTACCCACTGAGCATCTCCCCAAGCTCTGATTGACCATTTTTTTCTTTTTCTTCTCTTTTCCACCTTATCTTTCCCTCCTTTCTTTCCTTTTTAAAGAGCATTATTGAACACTGTGGTCATCTGTTTTATGACTAACCAGCTATATTTCCATTGTTTTCCTTTCTGGGTGTGGTCATTGAAACCTGTCTTTTGTTGCTTTTATTTGAATAAGGCCTGTCAGAGTTTCCCTGAATGTAAGGAAGACTGAGGATGGAGGGAGCATGAGAGATGGAATAAAACTTTCCTTGTGTTTACAAAATGACTCTGTGATGGGACTATCCTTTAGTACTTTCCTGGCTTGCATTGATCCTTGGGATCAGTCCTAAGTAAAAGTTTAGGATCTCCAGTCCTTTCTGAGCAAAAGTCTGCCCTTAGGCATGAGTGACTTTATTTTTAAAAATTTTTTTAGACGGTCTCCCTGTAGCTCCAGCTGGACTGGAACTCATTATATAGACCAGGGTGGCGTTGAACTCAAGAGATCTGTCTGCTTCTGCCTCCCAAGTACTGTGACTAAAAGGCTTGTGCCACCATGCTGGGCATGAGTGGTTTTCTTAATGCCTTCTGATTTGTGGGCAATTTTGGATTTCCCCCCAAAATTCTTGGCTTTAGGCCAACTGTTGTACATCTCAACAGTAATCTTTTGTTCTTCCCTTCCGTAGGTTGATAGCTTTACAAAGGTTCAAGCAATTCCCTGAACTTTTCTAGTCTGAGTGAGGACCTTTAAGCAAAATAGTCAAGCCCCTTGCATTGGCCCTTCAAGCAGTTCCAAACAGAGTTTCCAAATAAGACCCCTTTGTTTCTTTAAAAACCACCATGAACTGCTTTTTGTAATAAGTTTCTAGGCTGCTTTTTTTCCTGTCTGCTGGTGAGCTGGGACTGGGAAAGCAAAAATTATTAAAACTGGGCTGGAGAGATGGCTCAGTGGTTAAGAGCACTGGCTGTTCTTGCAGAGGACCTGGGTTTGACTCCCAGCACCCATATGGTGACTAACAACTGTTGTAACTCCAGTTCCAGACTATCTGACACCCTTTTCTGGCCTCTGTGGGCATTATACAACACTGGTAAACTTACATACATGCAGGCATAACACTCATACATATAAAATTTTTAAAAATGATTGAAACCATTAAAGCTTTCCTGCATGTGTTTCATAGTTGGATTTTTCTTGATTGCTATAAATCTTTATCTTTTGACAGTTTTCTGATTTCCAATGCTTCTATCAGGACAGGTCCTTAGAATTGCCTAGTTTTTGTCTTGCTGACATATTTTTGCATTGTAACCATTGAAATATTAGATATGAAAGTGACATTTTTAGTCAAACTATCAGAATTAGAGAGTAAATAAATAACTTTAGAGTGATGTTATTACTTCAAAATAGTTTCATAGAACCTGTTTTTTTTTTTTTTTTTTTCCCCTGTTAGGCCTTCTTTCATGGATGTGTCATTACATAGCTCTTCCCTTTGTTGTGACCTTTTAAGTCGAGTTTGTCGCACTGCAGTAACTCACTGCAAGGATGCTCTAGAAAACCATCTTCATGTTATTGTTGGTACACTTATACCCCTTGTGGATGATCAGGAGGTTCAAGAACAGGTAATTTTCCCATTCATCATCAAATGGTATTCGAGCTAAATTAGTACTGTTAGGAGCTGAATGCCTTGTGTTTACTTAGTATAACTAGTAATTTTAATGAAAATGCTTTCTGACAATTGATAGGGAGACATCCTTATTGAGTTAATTTATGAAGTCATTTACATAGTACTTGGTAATTTTGATCTAATAAGTCTGATTGTTTTATTACACTGAAGTAGTTCAAAATAGTGGTAACAGTTCATACTAGTATGATTATGTATAATGTACTGTACAAAGTGTTTCACTACCAACGGGTTTGCTGTACCTTAATGTTCTTTGTGTATATTTGTAGAACTTTTGAAAGTACAGAAACAACTGGATACTGTTCATGTCATTAGAACATTTCATTTGAACTTGGTTAGCAGAGATTTTTTTTTAATTAATTGAATTTGACCCTTTTACTTTGAAATATAATTTAAGACTTCTCTCCCTTTTTTACTGATTTAGGTATTGGACCTGTTGAAATACCTTGTGATAGACAACAAGGACAATGAAAGCCTTTATCTCACCATTAAACTTTTAGATCCTTTTCCTGACCGTGTTGTTTTTAAGGATTTGCGAACTACTCAGCAGAAAATCAAATACAGTAGAGGACCCTTCTCACTCTTGGAGGTAATCAAAACTCCATCTTCCTATTTCATATTAGAGAACATAGGCAGTAGTAATTTTGAAAAAACTTCTAATGTTCTACTGGTAAAAATTGAATATGTTTTATTGTGGTAAAAGAGATACACCCTCTTAAAAAAATAAAAAATCATGGGGCTGGAGAGATTGATCAGTTTTTAAGAGCTCTGGCTGCTCTTGTCAAAGACTGGTTTCAGTTCCCTGCACCCACATGGAGGCTAACAACTCTTGATCCCCGTTCGAGGTGATCTAATGTCCCCTTCTGGCCTTTATGGGAACTACATGCATGTGGTGCACTTAACAAGTGGCAAAACACTCAAAGGTGTAAAATAAAAATAAAATCTAAAAAATATATAAAATTTAAAAATCTTTTGTTTGATGTATGTATGTAAAATTTTTAAATCTTTTGTTTGATGTATATATCAGTATCTGTAAATGAGTTTTAAAGTAATTTTCTGTTTTAGGAAATTAACCATTTTCTCTCAGTAAGTGTTTATGATGCACTTCCACTGACAAGGCTTGAAGGACTAAAGGACCTTCGAAGACGGCTGGAACAGCATAAAGATCAGATGACAGATCTCCTGAGCACATCTCAGGGTACTGATTTCAATATGGTGGCTCTTTTTGTCCATTTCTTTCTCAGATAATCTTATAAAGTCTTGGTCTCATTGTCGGGAACAGTTCAGACCCTCATCATTTGTCTTATAAGCCATAATATGTTCTGAACTGGCCTCCTTACCTTAATATTTCTGATTTTATCCATCTTATGCCAGAATGATTTCTTAAACCAAAATATGATCACTGTACTCTATTTAGAAAGCTTTTCATTGTGTATTATGCATGTTTATAGCTTTTTTTAAATTGAAGAGAACATTGTTTTATGTTAATTTGATTTATTATTATAGTATTAGAATCAGAAATTTTTGTACCTATATTTTGGCTTTCGTCTTCCTATGTCAATTACTTTCATATTGCTATTAGATAATTCTTATCCTCCATACTTAAAAAAATTCTTTTTATTATAATTAAGAAAATGGTGTGTGTGTGCTACCTTACTTATGGAGGTCACAGGACACTTTGCTGGCAGGAATCAGTTCCTCCTTCACCATGTGGGTCCAGGGATCAACATTAGGTCATCAGGCTTGGTCGCTTAAACTCATTGAGTCATCTGGTGAACTCTATCCTTAGTACCTTTTAAAACTAAGTGTGATCATGACAATTTCTCGCTCTAGGAGGTTCTAGTGCACTTATTTTGAGAAAAATGAGATATAAATATAACTCTTCTTTGTTAGGAATTTCATTGGGTAGATCTGCCTTATATAATACAACTGCTAGCTGTATGTGGCTCTTCAAACTCTAATGGATCAAAATTTAAGGGAAACTGAAATTCAGTTTATTCATTATCCTGACATATGCCATGTTCTCACTAATAGATGGAGCTGTTACTGGGCAGCACAGGTTATAGGTACTTCCATCTGTGCAGAAGGGGTGCTAGATGGTGCTGGTATAGAATGTAGATGCTGGATGCTAACAAAGCAAGGGAGGTCCCTTCTAGTTTTAATACTGATTGATTCTTATATTTTGTGGTTTTGCTAGGGTATTAATATTTCTGAACACTTTGTTCAAGATGTTTTTCTTTTCTTTGCTTGTCAATTTTTGGAAAATATTTTATCTTTTTCAAATTATATATATGAGTGTATTGCCTGCTTGTGTGTAAGTACAACCATGTTGTTCACTGCTCATGGAGGTCAGAAGAAGGTATTGTATCTCCTAGAACTGGAGTTACACATGGTTGTTAGCTACCATGTGGGTGCTGGTAATTGTACCCAGGTCCTCTGCAAGAGCAGTCAGTGCTATTAACCACTGAGTCATCTCTCCAGCCCCTGTTTGTCAAATTTATTTTTGTGTGTGTGTGTGTTATTTTATGTGTATGTGTGTGTTGCCTGCGTGTAGGTAAGTGTACCCGTGTTGTGCAATGCCCGCGGAGGACAGAAGAGGCTGTCAGATCCCCTGGAACTGGAGTTACAGACAGTTGTTAGCTGCCATATGGGTGCTGGGATTCGAACCTGGGTCTTCTGCAAGAACAACCAGTGTTCTTAACCACTGAGCCATCTCTCCAGCCCCTGCTTGTCAAATTTTACTAGTCATTTCCACCACATGGTCATATTTCACGAGGAAGCTGAAACTTATGAATTTTTTATCTGTTCATGACCAACAGCCTTAATAAGCCTTCTAAAAGTTTCCTAGTCAGGTAATTATGTGTATGTAGTAAACATGTATTGTGCCTGTGATAATTTTTATCAATTTTCTCTAAATTCTCATAGATAACCCACAAGATAGCGTCGTGGTGAAGCTAGTTGTCAACTTATTGCAGTTATCCAAGATGGCAGTGAACCAGACCGGTGAACGAGAAGTTTTAGGTAAATTATGTAGCTGAATGGTCATCTTTCCAATATTCTCAAATTTAAGTTTGTCATTTGAATTACCAGAGATCTTAGAGAAATATGAGATGTTTGCTAAGTTGTACTTTTGTTTAGGTAACTGTAAGCAGCTTTCTTTCATCCTTCCTTAAATTCATTTAAAAAAAGTTTAGAATACTAATGAATAGTGGATAAATATTAATTTGAAAATGCCTATAAGTATGTAAGAAAGTCACAGACCTTTATAGAGTTAAGTTGCAAAATAATTTGACTTTTGGGATATTTTTATAAGACTAGTATAATTTACAGATATTTAGTATCTGTTTTTTATATAATATTAATAAGAAGACTTGAGGGATAGATTAAACTACTTTTTTTTTAAATTTTTTATTTCATGTGTATGAATGTATTGCCTGCATGTATGTAAGTGCACCCGTGTTGTGCAGTTCCTTGGAGGTCAGAAGAGGGCTTCCGATTACCCTGGAACTGGAGTTAAGGATGGTTCCTAGCCGCCATGTGGGTGCTGGGAATCAAACCCAGGTTTTCTGCAAGAGCAGCCAGTGCTCTTAACTGCTGAGCCACCTCTCCAGCCCCTAAACTAAAAATTTTTTTAAAGCCAACTTTTAAGTCCTTTGCTCCTGCCATTTGGGGCATAATCTATTGGCAATGTAAATTGCTAACATCATATCTAGTGTAGGCATTTAGATTTGATGATCATAGGATGGAACAGACACATGAATGAACTTAGCTAGACTTTGTTCTCACAGCACTGCTTTAATAAGAATGGAAACTGCTCCTTATGCACTGTTCTATCTTTCTCTAGTGTCTGTAAATCTTAGTGGGACCTCACATTGAAGCTACTGGCTTTTTAGGTTGATTTTTACTGAAATATACACCTTAAGATGCATATGAATGCAGATCATACATATATACATAGTTTAAAGTATTTTTACACAGTCAAAGTACCCCTGTATGTCCATTGCCCAGACTTAGAAATGGAGCCTTGATCAGATCCTAGAGGGTTTCTTTTCTTCTTTGCTCATACTACTACTGTTTGTGGGGATAAGGGGCAACCCTGATTTGTTCGAGGAGCCTTAAGTGACTTTCTTGTGTAACAGAATGATACAGTTCTCTACATATAATTAGCATCACACTTAGTAGTAAAAGATTGACATCAGGAATGAAACAGTATTACTGCCTTTACTACTGACTTTCAACATTATATTGAAGTTCTAATCAGAGCTATTACACAAGGAAAAGAAATGAAAAGCATCCAAAATGGAAAGGAAGTAAAGAGCTCTCTATTCTTAGATGACATGAGTATACGTGTAGAAAATCTTGAAGAATTTGTAAAAAAGCTGCCATACAACCAATAATCATTGAGTCAATAATCAAAATTCAACATGTTGACATTTATAAGATGAATAGATAAAATTGAATTGTGAAGCTGGGCATGGTGGTATATACTTGTAATCCCAGTACCATGGAGACTAAGGCAGGAGGTTTGCAAGTTCAAGGTCAGCCTAGGCTATATAATGAAACCCTGTATTTAAAAATATGTTTTTATATACCAACAGTAAATGAGCTAAAAAGGAAATTAAGAAATTCTTTTTAGAATAGCATTTAATAGAAATAAATAGGGATGCACATTGTCAAAGAGATGGAGGACTCCCCCATATAAGTGTTTCTTAGACTCCACAAGCCATGCATGGTGGTACACACTGTGAATCCCTACACTTGGGAGGCAGATGCAGGTGGAGCTCTGTGAGATTAAGGCCAGCCTGGACTACATAGTGAGTTCCAGACCTGTTCAGGCAACAGGGAGGCCCTCTCTCAAAAAAACAAAATAGGGCCTGGAGAGATGGCTCAGGAGTTAAGAGCACTGGCTGCTCTTGCAGAGGATCCAGGTTTGATTCCCATCTACATGGTGACTAACAACTGTTTATAACTCTTGTTTCAGGGGATCCAACGCCGCCTTCTGGCCTTTGAGGGCACTGAATGACACAGGTGCACTTATACACATGCAGGCATAACACTCATACATATAAAATAAAATAAATAAAGCAACTTTAAAACAAAACAAACTGAGGTAGCTGGAGAGTGGAGACCACTGGCAGCTCTTGCAGAGGACACAAGTTCAGTTCTAGTACCTACATGGCAGCTAAAAACTGTCCATAGCTCCAGTTCCAAGAGATCTGACATCCTCTTCTGGCTCCTGAGGGCATTGCATTCATGGGTGCACTTATATATATGCACTTATATATATATCAGGTAGAACACGCATACACATAATATAAAATTGAAAAAAATGAAGTCACTTAATATAGCTCATACTGAGTGGAAGAGAGGGGACTTGGAAACACATTTTGAAAGGAGTGTTGTTGAAATACTGTTAGTGAATTCCCCCGTGACTGGTTATAAGCATGCCAACTCCTTAGGATGCTAAAAATATTGTGTCTTTATCTAGTAGAATATTAATAGCTGGATAAAAATGAGTATTTAAATTTTTTCAATGCGTTTTGTGTTTAATATTTATGAATATTAGGTTTATGATACCTGAAAAATGTTTTGAGTTTTAAAATGTATGCTCTCAATAATGGCCAATCATGTTAGTGCTTCATTCTTTCTTTTACTGTAATAGTTAACCTATTTCTGGTATTCTGTAGGGGAAAATGTCTTACCTGGATGGGTAATATGCAAATGAAATTATATAATATTTTGTAGCTTTTTTATTCCCAATGTTTAAAAACACTGAAATCTTGAAGAATAACAAAACAGTATTACATTTTTTAAATTGGAAATTTTTTCGTATGTATACTCTGTTAGTTATGACAACTGAAATGGAATTTCTTTATGTAGAGGCCGTTGGAAAGTGTTTGGGAGAAATAGGTCCTATGGATTTCTCTACTATAGCTATACAGCATAATAAAGACACATCTTATGCCAAAGCCCTTGTGTTATTTGAAGATAAAGAACTTCAGTGGACCTTAATAATGCTGACCTCCTTAAATAACACACTGATTGAAGATTGGTGAGTGTTTATGGGTACCTTTTATCTGGTCACAGAAACTTAATCTCATAATCAAGGAGAATGATAATACTTCTCTTAAGTTAACACTTCCTATAACTAAAGTTTTGTCTTTAAGTCCTCACTTTTTTTTTTAGATTTTGTGTGTGTGTGTGTGTGTCTCATACAGAACATCCCAAACAACCTTACTCATCTTTAATACCCACATCCCAAGTGGCACCTTCCCATAGCCTCCTCCCCCTGCCCCCCACTGGAGGCCATATACTCTGTCATCCTGTTACTGCCCACTGTATTGTCAGTGCCCCCAGTGCAAGTCCATCCGCTGAGTCTAGTCAGCTTACCTAGAGTCCCTTGTTTTAGGAAGCTCAGCTCTTCTTCATCTAGCAGCAATCAGTTGCCAGCATTCCTTTAGATAAGATTGGGGTCTGCTGTTCATTTTCCCAGTTCTATGCTGGGTACTGTCTGGGAATCTATTGGGCTACCCTGGCCAACAACTCAAAGGAAGGTATTTCCTATCTGGCATTGTTTCTTGTTATGTAGTCTTTAGCTATACACATGGACTCGAAGAAATATACTGATCACTTTAATCTTCGGTTATACTTTCTTTTGGGGTGTTTAAGACCATACAGTTGGCCCAAATAAACTAATTTATTTTCACTCTTAAGGTTGCTTGAGGATCTGTTTCTCAGGGGTCACATGGGCTTGGAAGGAGCCCCTGGCTCCTTTCTTTTACCAGTTCCATCTATGTGACGATAAGTCAAAGGTCCTGCTCAGCAGTGGTTGGCTTCACTTGGAAGCAAGGAGGAAATGTTTCCTCTGCGTTGACCCTCGTCTTTATAGACTGGACACTGGTTCAGTTCCATCTGGTAGGATCTCCATAGCCTCCCTGAACAAGAGGACAGGTGACTCACCACAGTTACAGGACATTTTAAGGGATGCTCAGTAGTCCCCTGGAATTTAGTCAACCTTGGAGGGCAAGGAGCAAAAACTGCCCTTTAAGTCCCTCTGACCAGATTAATATGGGCCTCAAAGTATGTCAGTTAAACATCCAATGTTAGTTCCACCAGTCTGGTGTTTTAATTACCATGTGCTATGTAGAAAAAGCTTGAGCAAAATCGAAACATTCTCGGATATACCTTGACTAGACATATATTTTGTTCCTTGAACTAGTTGTATGCATAACTTGTCAGTAGGTTGTTGGACTAATATGGTTCCCTCTGGTTTTTTGAAACTAGGCATTATTTTGTCTCTCTGTGTAACCATTCCACCACGGTTTCCCCATTTAAAGTGCCCCCATTTTCCCGTTTCTTCCTTAATAATACTCTTCTCCTATGTTCCCACCTTTCTTGAGCTCCTTCTTTCCCTTTATTGCCAAGGTTCCTTGTATAACATCCCCCTGCGCCCATTTAAATAACCCCATTTTTATCCATATCTCCCTTAGTAACACCTATTTACTACTATTCTTCTGTCTCAGGTTCTTTTTCTTTTCCTTTACTTCCTGGTTCCTCTTCATTATCCTGGTTCCTGTAATTATGTCTGGATACATACTCAATTATAAGGATTTGGTGCTAGGATCTGCATGTGAGGGAGAATATATTCATCGTTTGTTTTTCTGAATCTGTGTTACTTCACTTAGTATACAGTTTCTAGTTCCATTCATTTACCTACAAATTTCATGATTTCATCTTTCTTTACTGCTGAGTAAAACTCCATTTTATAAATGAACCACATTTTCATTGTCCACTCATCGATCGAGGGATACTTAGGTTGCTTCCATCTCTTAGCTATGTATTGAGCAGCAACAAACATGGATGTACAAGTTTCTGCAGTAGGATGAGTTCTTTGGATATATGCCAAGGAGTGGTATAACTGGGTCAAATGGTAGGTTCATTTTTAGGTTTTTAAGGGTTCTCGGTTCTCCACACTGTTTTCCATGGGGGTGAAACAAGTTTGCAATCCCACCAGCAGTGGATGAGTGTTCCCCTTTCCCCACATCCTCTCCAACATTTGGTATCATTTGTTCTCTTGATCTTAGATAGTCTGACTGGGGTACAGTGAAATCACTTCAAGTGGTTTTATTAATCACTGATGTTGAACACCTTTTAGGATGCTTGGTTCTCCACACTGTTTTCCATGGGGGTGAAACAAGTTTGCAATCCCACCAGCAGTGGATGAGTGTTCCCCTTTCCCCACATCCTCTCCAACATTTGGTATCATTTGTTCTCTTGATCTTAGATAGTCTGACTGGGGTACAGTGAAATCACTTCAAGTGGTTTTATTAATCACTGATGTTGAACACCTTTTAGGATGCTTCTTAGCCATCTTTATTTCTTCTTTTGAGAACTCTCTGTTCAGCTCCTTGGCCCATCTTTTTATTGGGTTACATCCTTTCTTGATCCTTTTTTTTTTGAGTTCTTTATATATTCTGGATGTTAAACCTCTGTCAGATGTGTTGCTGGTGAAAATTTTCTCCCTCTCTGTGGGTTTTCTCTTCACTTTCTTGGTTGCTGCTTTTGATGTATAGAAGCTTTTTAATTTAATGGGACCCATTTGTTGATTCTTGGCCTTATTTCCTGAGCAGTTGATGTCCAGTTTAGAAAATCCTTTCCAATACCTATGTCTTATAGATTATTAACAGTTTCAGAGTTTCAGACTTCACACTGAGGTCTTTGATCCAGTTGGAGTTGACTGTAGGGCAAGGTGAAAGATAGGGGTTTAGTTTTCTTCCACAGGTGGAGATCCAGTTTTGCCAGTACCATTTACAGAAAATGGTATCTTTTCTCCAGTGAATGTTCTTGGCCCCTTTGTCAAATATCAGGTGGCTGAAATTGCATGTACTCATATTTAGGGCTTCAGTTTTGATCCATTGATGTATGGGTCTATTTTTCTGCCAGTACCATGTTGTTTTTATGATTATAGCTCTGTTATACTGTTTAAAATCTGGTATAGTAATGCCCCCAGCATTGCTCTTAGTGCTCAGGGTTCCTTTGGCTATCCAAGGTCTTTTGTGCTTCCACATGAATCTTAGGATGGTATTTTCCAATTCTGTGAAGAATGTCATGGGGATTTTGATTGGCATTGCATTGAATCTATGAATGACTTTTGGTAGGATGGCCATTTTTACAATATTAATTCCTCCAATCCATGAGCATGGGAGGTCCTTCCATCTTCTGATGTTCCTCAATCTCTTTCTTTAAAGATTTAAAATTTTCGTGGTAGAGTTCTTTAATGTCTGGTCAGGTTTATTCTGAGGTATTTTATTTTATTTTTTTGCAAGTATTGTGAAGGAGAGTGTTTCCATGTGCTCTTTCTCTGATTGCTTGTTATTGGTATATAGAAAGGCTACAGACTTTTGTAGGTTAATTTTGTAACAAAGCATTAATCAATTCTCACAGTTTTCTGGTGGAATTTTTGGGATCTTGTAAGTTTAATATCATATCGTCTGCAAACAGGGATAATTTGGCCTCTTCTTTTCCAATTGGTACTCCTTTAATTTCCTTCTCTTGTCTTATTGCTCCCGCAAGGGTTTCAAGCATTATATTGAAAACGAGTGGAGATAGTGGACAGCCTTATCTGGTTCCTGTTTTTAACAGTAATGCTTCCAGATTTTCTCCATTTAGAATGATGTTGGCTGTGGACTTGATGTATATGACTTTAATTATGTTGAGGTGTGTTCCCTCCAGTCCAATACCCTCTAGGACTTTGAACATAAATGCATGTTGAATTTTGTCAAAGGGCTTCTCTGCATCTATTGAGATAACCGTGTGGTTCTTGTCTTTGAGACCATTTATAAAATTTATGACGTTTATTGACTTATGTATATTGAACCGTCCCTGCATCTCTGGAATAAAGCTGACTTGATCATGGTGGATGATCTTTTTGATGTGTGTCTGTATGCAGTTTGCAAGTATCTTGTTGAGAATTTTTGCATCAATGTTCGTTAAGGATATGGGTCTATGGTTTTCTTTTTGGGCTGTATCTTTACCTAGCTTTGGTATTAGAGTGATGCTGGCTTCATAGAAGGAATTTGGAAGTTCTCCCTCCATTTCTATCTTTTGAATAAATTAAGTAGTAATGGATATAGATCTTCTTTAAATGTCTGGTAGAATTCTGCTGTAAATCCATCTGGTCCTAGGCTTTTTTTAGTCAGGAGGTTTTATATTACTCTTACTCTTTCAATTTCCTTATGTGTTATGGGTCTGTTTAGGCTGTTAATCTCTTCTTGGTTTAGTTTTGGTGGTTCCCATGCTTTTAGATACCCATCCATTTCTTTTAGGTTTTCAAATTTAGTAGCGTATAGGTTTTTAAAGTATTCCATTATAATGTTCTGGATCTTTGTGGTATCTGTTGTGATGTTTCCCCTTTCATCTCGGATTTTGTTGATTTGTAGGTGCTCTTTCTTTTGGTAAACTGGACTAAGAGCATGTCAGTCTTGTTTATCTTTTCAAAGAACCAGCTCTTGAATTCTTTGATTTTTGTTTTTTTGTATTGTTTTCTTTGTTTCTATTTCATTGATTTCTGCGTTGTTTTTTGTTTGTTTGTTTGGTTGGTTGGTTTTTCTTCTTGTCTTCTGGGTTTCATTTGTTGTTGCTTTTCGAGTGTTTTGAGTTGCAATGTTAAGTCATTTATTTGATTTATTTAATGTAGGCACTTAGAGCTATAAACTTACCTCGAAGGACTGCTTTCAATGTTTCCCAGAGGTTTTGTTTGTTTGTTTGTTTGTTTGTATGTGTTATATTGTCCTTTTCATTTAGTTCCAGGAATACTTTTATTTCTTTCTTAATTTCTCCTTTGACTCATTCATCATTCAGAAGTTTAATGAGTTTTTTGAAGGAGTTTTGTTTAATTTCCATGTGTTCATGCAGTTACTAGGGTTTCTTCCAGTGTTGATTTTAAGCTTTATTGCATTGTGGTCTGGAATTATTTCAGTCTTTTTGTTTTTGTTGAGGCTTGTTTTGTGCTCCAGTATGTGGTTGATTTTGGAGAGCATGGAGTGCTGATTG